AGAGTAAGGACATAGCCAGCACAGGAGGGGACTGAGCCTAGAGGCTGGGAGACCAGTTAGGAGGCTGGTGCAGGCATTCTGAAGAGACATGGCAGGATCTTAACCATAACTGTGGAGTAGGGATGGAGCTCCCCAACCCCCATCAGGCCTTCCCCATCAGCCTGTGGTGGGGGTGTGGTGGGGGCTGGGTGGGGTGAGTGCTTGAAGCCCATCCCTTGGCCCCTGAGCTCAGGACAACCACTGTTCAGGTGTTGCCCCCCATGCCAGGTACCTCTCCACGCAGGGAGGCAGCCCAGGTGGAAACTGTCTGGGCAGTGCACTTTCCCTTCATGCTCCTTGGTCCTAGCAGAAGTCCTATCCCTGTCCTGGCTTGGATGTTCCGCCTTCCTAACAGGAGAGGGCCCTATACTTCACGCAGAGCCATGCTCACGGTGCTAACAGCTTGTTCTCTGGCTGGGAGAATCAGCTTCCGCGAACAGAAAACCTTTCCCTTCTCCAAGAGGCTGCTGGCTGGCAGGCACACAAGCTCCTGGTCTCTGCCCCTCAGACTGCCTGTCTACCCATTCTTTGACCAGAGAGGGAGAGATAGGGGTGGGGGACAAGGAGGAGTGTTGTTTGTCATTCCTCTCAGGGAGAAGACCTTGGAGCAGCTCCCAGTCTTGTGGTCCAGGCTGCCTTTGAGGATGCCCTAAATGCCTGCTTTGTTCCCTACTCCTGAGGGTGGGTTGTTGCCAAGCGGAAGGCACCCTCCCCCTCTGGCAAGGACCTAGCACATTCCTCCCCCTCTGCTGCAGCTACTGGGCCTGGAACAGAGCCTGGAGGTTGGGCAGGCCCTCCCAGGAGTGGGTGTGGACCCCCTCTGAGGCTGCTCTCAGCCTGGGCTCTCTGCCCAGGACTGAGGTGGTAATGGTGTGTGCAGGGGGATAGGGGGAGAGTTCCCAGAAGGTGGGAGGAGAAATTGTTTCAGATCTAGCCCCATCTACCTCTCATCCAGGGTCATAAGTAGGGTTAGCTGGTTGGGGTTATATGGAGGCTATTCTCCACATATGGGGAGGGGAGGGGGAGGGACAAACTGAGCCAGAGTCACAGAGAAGAGTCACTCACCTCCCACAAGTAGCTGACCTCAAGTCTGAGAGACCCAGCAGCCTTCTTTGGGAAACTCTTGCCCAGGAAGGGCCACTTGGCCTTCCTTGGTCTTTTCAGCCCCATCCACATGCCTGAGTGGTGTCCATAGTCAGCTACAGACCTTCTCCTGGTGGTTCACTTCCTCCTGGTGTACCTGGGGCCAGAAGCCTCTTTAAGCTGGTTTCCTCTTCGGTGATGAGAAGCTGACACCCTGCTAGGCCTCCATCCCAGGGCTGTTGGGAGGCACACTTGAGAGAAATAAATGTGACCTGTGAGTTGTACTCACACATAGGACAGCCACTACTGAATTGTCTTGCCATTTTCTCCCTAGCTTTCTTGTAGTACCTTTGGAGTCCTGAGCAGGTACAGGGGGCTGCAGGAATAGAAAGGAATCTCTCTTCTTAGAGAGTGGGGCCCAGTGGCAGCAGCAGTGGTATTTGCTTTTGCTCGCTGTTACTAGCACAGGAGGTATTGGCCCACTTGCAGATAAACATCTATTCTCCAGAGCTGTGCATATCTCAGGACCACTTGCAGAGGTCTGGGCAGTCAGACTGGGCTACGGCTCAGAAGGGCACCTGCTTCACTCTTGGGATTGTCTCTGGGAGTCCCCAGCTCTTGAGTGATCAGATGCCTCCATGGAAGAAGGGGGGCCAAGCTGAGGCAGACTGAGGAGAGGGTCATTGTGAGGGGTAGCTGGTCTCACCAGCATCCATTGCACTGTCTTTGGAAGCTCCCAGATACCAACCTCTTCTAATCAGCTTTCACTTTACGAGGACAAACACTGGAGTGAGATTTTAGCTTTGTCGGTAGGTTTGACCTTGGTGAACTCAGTTCAGATCTTGTAAACCTCCATTTGTTTGGAATTCCCAGGTGTTTATTCTGTCACCTAGCCAGATAGAACTTTAGCAGGGATGGACATGTACCCTAGAAAGGACTGGGCTTTTTGAGACTGGGCAGGTTGGCTGGAGCCAGGCCAGGAACTAGCAGCTGGAGGAAAGGGAATCCAGGGAGTGGCCTACAACAGAGTACCTAGAAGCCTTGACACCTGTCTCTCCTCTCTGGCTGCAGGGCACCAGGTGGTAGGCATATCAGGCTGATTAAATGAAAGAGACTGAGATGCCCCCTAGGGCCAGGCCCCATGTTTCCAGTAGAGCAGTGAAAGAGACCATCAGCAAACAGGGGGAGGACCATTAGAGGGCAAAGGAAGCTGGTCCTGAAAGAGTTGGCCTTGGAACTGCTAGTCTGCAATTATGTCAGCCGGCTCTGCTGAAGGAATCCTTTCCAACCCATTAGTCAGTTCATAGCACAGAAATAGGGACCCCTCATGGTCCGTCAGGCAGGGATGTGGAACAGATCCTCTGTGTGATCCCGAGGCTATCACACAGGAGGTGAGGCAGGAAGCTTCCCAGCAGGCCACATATTAGAAGGGCTGGAAAACCAGCTGTCCCTCAGTCCAGCCTCCCTCTGGGATAGCACCCTCAAAAGGAGTCAATGTTAGGCCCTAAGGCCCAGTACTAAACCCATTTCCTCTGTCCCACCACATCCTGGCCTGTCTCTGAGTCTGCCCAGGCCAGAGATACACTTGTAAGGGATTTAAATCTTTCCTGATCATTTATTTGTCAGCTTCACTAATTAAGCAGTGTTAATTTCATTTACTGAAAATGGAAATTCATCCACCTCATTTCTCCCTGTTCATCCTCCACACACAAAATCCATCATTCCTCGGCTGCAGGCTGCGTAAAATTTACAGGACTAATTATGTTGTCAGGTCTCTTTGTAAATACAGTCCATAAAGGCCACTGTGCTTGCTGGGTTGTAGTGCAAGGGCATTCCCGTTGTTAGTTTAATTACTGGTTAGTTATTTAGGTTCTCAAATGTTTGCCTCGTTTTCCCTAAATCAAATTAAATGTCCCGCTTGATGTGTTCTGTCTCCATGGCCCTGCTCTTATTTCCCACACTGTTTAAATATGACTTCTAATCAAATGAGAGTGCCTGGAAAAGCCCAGCTGCCTGTGAGGCTGGGCCCAGCCTGGCACCATGTCTTCTAAGCCATGCTTGAAGTTTGGAACTCTCTAGTAACTGACACCCTTGTTTATTTATTTTTTAAAATGTATTTGTTTATAGGGGCCAGCAGGTGGCGTGGTGGTTAAGGGCGCCGGACCCCCACATCTTCAACTGTGGTTCAAGTACTGGACCTGGTGACTTGCTTTCTCAGTTTCTCTCTCTCTCTTTCTCTGTTCCTCTCTGGTCAAATTAAAATAAATAAATAAATAAAGTTAAATAAAATAATTCTCTTTAAAAACTTATTAAAAATATATTTATTTATGGAGAGAAGGAGAGAGAGAGCTAATGCCTTTTTTAAAGGCAACCTTAGGCTGGTTCCCTGACATTAGAGACTGAAAATCATAACACAATGGCATCCCTCTTCCTAGAGTGCAAGTTGGCAGGCTGGAGTGAAGGAAAGTGTGGAAGGATTTTATTATTGTCATCAAAAGAGCTGAACACAGAGGGAGGTGCTAGCCTGTGGCAGGGTGATTAAGGTGGCTAGATCCACATGGCCAACCAAGCAGTTTGAGTCCTGGACTCAGTAGCAGGAAAAGCACTGTGTGTGTGTGCCCAAAATCTTGAGAGAATGGAAGAGAAGGGATTACAACTTGGCCATCCTCCCTGGGGGGTGATTTCTCACTTTCTCTGGTAAGAACATCTACCCTATAACAAGCTAAAAAAAATAAAATAAAATAAAGCAGAAACAAAAAAAGACAAAGACAAAAATCAAAAGAATTTAAAAGCTGAGGATCACTTTGTTCAACCCCTTCACTTCTAGATGAACTTCTCCAAACTGTCCCAGAAAAAAAGTACCTGTACTTTCTATGGGACCCTCTTTCTCTCCTTCGTAAAAGTAGAGTTTGGGTCAACTTCCCCTGAATCCCTTCTGTATTAGTTTCTTATTGTTGCTGTAACAAATGACCACACACATAGTGACTTAAAAAGAACACAAATCTACCTTACAGCTCTGGAGGTCAGAAGTGTGGGCAGGGCTGCATTCCTTCTGGATGTTCCGGAAGAGCATCTATTTCCTTGCCTTTTCAGTGTCTAGAGGCTGCCCACAGTCCATGGCTAGTGGGCCCCTTCCAGCCAGCAATCACATTATTTCAACATCTGTCTCTGTAGTCACCTCACCTTCTTTGAGTCTCCTGCCTCTCTTTTTCTCTTATAAGAACCCGTGTGATTACATTGAATCCATCCAGATAATCCTGGATAATCTTCTCTTCTCAAGGTCTTTAACTTAATCACATCTGCAAAATCCCTTTTGCTGTGCAAAGTGACATATTTATGGGTAATGGGGATTAGGGGGGCATTATTCTGCCTACCACAGGCCCCACCAAGTGCCTCTTGCATGACTTAATAAGGGAGTCATTCAACAGCTGCTGCCTTGGAGCTAGGCCTGGGCTGGACTCATTTCGGATGGCTCAGAAGAGAGCAAGCCTGCTGTCAGGGCTGGCTTGTATCCTTGCCTCTGCAGCTTGGCAGCTGCTTCCCACCGACCACTGACCTGGCTCTTGCCTAATGCCCCAGCATGCCCTCTTCCTGCCGTGCTCTCCCTGAAACCCGAGTAGGAGCCTAGGATTCTCCTCACATTCACAGTGCTCCAAACTGTCCCCCCATGATTTAGAGCTGTTTCCTGACATTGCCAGTTCAAGAAGACATCAACCCACCGCTCTCACTGTTCTGTCAAGGCTCTAGTAGAGGAAACAGAGGGCAGTTAGAGCTTCAGTTTGTAGTCGAATTAAGCCACCCTGACCCCTCCCACCGAACTACTAATCAGTCTCTAATCATTAGGGGATTTGTTGTTCTTCCCAATATCTTGTGGGTGACTGAAAGATAAGAGTCAGGGAGGCCTTAAAAATGGTCTGGCAGAGCAGGGTTAGCCAGAGGCCACACTGTCACCAGAGAGAGTAAGCCTGCTGGTCTGTGCCAAAACTTGCTCAAGTTCCTCATGGGGTTTGGGAGGGATGCTCACGGGAGAGAATGTCCTGGTGGCTGAATGGGCTGGAAAGCCTCTTAGAGAACGTCCTCTTGAAGGCCCGTCCTCTTGAAGGCCCGTAGTCTGGGCTAGTAGACTCTAGAGAGCAGGGAAGGAATACAATGCAGTTTAAGGAAACAATGGGAGCAAAAGCAGGAAGTAGAGCAGGGGAACCCTCCCCCCTCATCCCAGGGTCCCAGAGCAAGTGGTTGTTATTTCTCTTTCCTCCACCCTGTTTTTCCCTCCTTCTATGTCTCTTTCCTTTTTACACAGCCACAAGTACTTACATATTTCTTTTTTTATTAAAGAATCATTCATTTAATTAATTAATTTATTTTAATGTGACCACAGAGAGACAGAGAGAGAAGGAAAGTGAGAAAACAAGTGGCCAGGTCCAGGACTTGAATCAAGATCAGTCATGTGGGAGTCTAGCGCCTTTTTTTTTTTTTTTTTTTGTGGAGAGGTTTTTGCTATAGGGCGCATGCGCTCGCCAGACAGACAGAGAGAGACAGAAAGCGAGAAATCACCCCCCAGGGGGGATGGCCACTCCACAATTCTTTCTCCTGGGCACGCGCACACACACACACCTGGCATGAGTTTTAAGCCACCGGGTCCGGGACGTGAACCGCGGTCGACTACATGGGAGTCCAGCGACATAGCCATTACACTAACTGCTGGTCCCAAGGGAGTCTAGCGCCTTTAACCACTATGCCACCTGCTGGCCCCCATACTTATGTATTTCTATGTTGAAATCTTATGGCTGGGAGGACCTTGGAGTCCCTTCACTGGCCCTACACTTGAATCTGCCTCTTTATAAAATGGAGGGTGGGGCTCAGGGGCTCCCATCTGTGTTATTGGACCCTATTTAGGACCCAATTTACCCCAGGGCTCAGGGCCCAATGCTTTCTAAGCCTTGAGCCTGAGGGGATTCTAGCTCTTTTTGGCACTGAGGCACTATGTGAGTAACCTTGATGCTAATGTCACAGGGTGACTGCTGGTGACCAGGTTGATGATGTCATGGGGATGTTGGAAGATCTGGCAATGATGTGAGGAGGACTACTGGGCCTGAGCTATGATATCTCATGGAGATCACTGGTGGCCTGGGTGGAGATGTCATTTTAGGACTTTTGGGAGATAAGATGATGCTATGCTGGATCTGTTGGAGGTTTGGGCTGTGACGTGACACTGCCTAAATTTAGAGAAAAGAGTAGTGAGGTCTCATAGAGGCCATTGGAGTCAGGGATGAAGAGTTCATAGATTGAGGTGGATTGAGAAGAAACCCAGTTAAATGAAGGTTTACCTGATTTCCTGGTATGCTTTGTTGAAAAGAGCCCTGAATTGGAATTCAGGAACCACATAGTCTAGACATGCTTAGGAGCTGTGAGCGCTATGTCAAAGAAGGCTCATTTGGTGGTAAGTAACAGAAACCGCTAAATCCAGGTTAAGAAAGTGGGGCTTATTGTCAGGATACCTATGGCCTAGGACTAGGCGAGCTCTAAGGTCTGAATGTGACTGATCACCCTCAGTGTCCCTTTCTCATTAAATCCATGCATGCTTCTCTCTGCACACTCATTCTTCTTTACCATGTTTGACTGCTCGGACCCTTAAACATTCTTTAATCCAGAACCTGGAGGTATTAGATTGGCTTTGCCTGTCACTACTGCCTCATTAACAGGGATCTGGTATCCTCTTTTCCCTTTTCTTCCTCCAAACAAAGGTCAGATTAGTGCTGTTACCAGAGCAGGATGATTTCAGCTGCAAAAAGGAGATTGAGGCCCAGTGGTGGTGGCACATAGATAGTACTTGGGAGGCTGAGGGCAAATGGGAAAGGGTTTAGCTCCTGGGCCAGACTGAACATCCTGGGTGTGGTTGTGTGTGTCTCTAGTCCTACCTAATTGGGAGGCTGAGGGAGGAGGATATTGACACAGTGGGACCCTGTCGAAAATATAGCTAACTCTGTGTCTCTCTCTTCCTGTCTCTTCTCCCAACCCTCATGAAAAAGAAACATGAGAAAGGATGTTGGATGTGACAAACACCATGTGACATGTTTAATGCATCTGGGCATACAATTTCTCCCCTCCGGGCCTCAGCTTACCATCTGTACAGTTAGAGGAACATAAATCCAGTTCCTAGTCCCACTAGTTCTGTGATTGTGTTGGAGATGCTCCCCATACTGAATTAGTAAGCCGCCTGGGGATTCCTACCTTCCTTTCTTGGTTTCATGGGTCGTGAACACTCTTTATGCTCATGTAGGGCAGGAGGTTCTTGGAATTTGTCTGGGAAAGTGGGTCATCACTGCTGTCCTTCAAGGTGCCAGGCCTTTTGCCACAGGAGAGTAAGTTTTCCAGGCCTTCTGCCACAGGAGAACATACCCACTTTTGTCCCATGGTGCAACAGATGAGCATCTAAGTCCTTGATCTAAGCATCAGTCACCCACCCCACTGGTCACTTTTTTGTTTACTCACCTGCTAACTAGTCGCCCTCCATCAGGCTTGACCAGCATCAAGGACAGATGGAATCATGAGCACCACTGGCTCACCTCTGCCCTGACAGTTAACACATTGATTTCTCATCCAGAAGCAGGGTCTGGCTCTCTCATTAGTCTATGGGCTGCTGAGGGCCAGCCTGCATCTCCAGTGGATTATCTCTGTCCCTGCAGAGAGGCCTAGATCAGGTGCTCAGGTTTTGCTGGATGAACAAAAGAAGCCAAAGTAACAATCACACTGTCCAGTTCAAGGCCTTCATGATCAGAATGGGAGAGACACTCTCCTCAGTCAGCTGTAGATCTCTCCTTTGGAGGGTCAACCCTTGGGTGCCACAGAGTGAGGTACTGTTCATAGGTGGTTAGTGTGGGTCTCACTAATAGACAATGTTCCATGTTAGTTCAAGTTTAATCCCTGTCCTTGGCTGGGGGAAGGGGACATATGGACATTATCCAGGTATCCATGGGACAGCTGCCTGCCCCTGGGCTGATACCTGACCCTCTTCTGAAGGTCCTGCTCCTTCTCAAGCTCACATACGTTCTCTACTTAGCAATTCTGAGTCCCTTTGCATGAACCTCAGGGAGAATAAGATTGACTGCCCATCCCTCAGATAAACCTGCTTACCTTTACTGGTTATTGAATCCTTCTGTTAACCCCGAGAAGTGATAAGCCAAATCCCTCCTTTCCATTTCCCTAGAGAGAAAAGATGAAACTCAGAGAGAAATCCTATGCTTTCTGACAGAGCAGAACAGGGCAGGGCTTGCCCATCTAGTGGGGGGCAGGGACAAGAGGGCTTCCCCAGGCACAGCAGTTGGACCTGAACCATAATCGTGTGTTTTCTTTGGGTAGATGACTTCATGAAGCAGAGCCGGGGCATGCTGTTGCTCTACAGCATGAAGAACCCCAGCTTCCCAGAGTACATCTTCAGCAGTGACAGTGGCATCATGTGTCTCGACATGCACGTAGACCACCCCTACCTGGTGGTGGTGGGCCACTATGACGGCAACGTGGCCATTTACAACCTCAAGAAGCCCAACTCTCAGCCCTCCTTCCGTAGCTCAGCCAAGTCTGGCAAGCACACGGACCCTGTATGGCAGGTCAGCCTCGAACCAGGATGGGGGGAATGGGCCTGGGAGTATCATGCAAACCTGAGAGACACTAGAAGGAGGGACCTTGGGGAGGTGAGGTCCACAGGCAAGGGGATGGGGATATGTGTCAGCTTGGAGGCCAATGGGCAGAGAAGGGCAGAAGGTGAGAATCAGGAGGTCAGGGGGTCTCCAGTAAGAATTGGCTCTGCCCCAGAGCTCCCATCAGCAAGGCTCCGTCTATCTGCCCACGATCCCAAAGGTGTGGTCATCAGAAACTCAGAGGCCATAGCTGGAAGCCTCAAGGCTTTGTCTCAGCTTCCTAAACTCCCCACAGCAAGTCTTCTCTGCCATCTGGGCTAGAATTTGGGAAACTCCCAGACAGGGTACATGTTGCTGATTGCCTGACCTCTGGGTGGGACTGTAAGGCCTAGTAGGCCAGGTCTGACCCTAAGTCTCACTGTAGCTTTCTCTCTTTTCCAGAAAAGCCTACAGTGGGGGTAGGGGGGTGGAGGGGGGGTCTCTGCCCAAGTCTGAGACCATTACTTGGACATTGGGGTTGGATTTCACCTTGTCTCTGTATCTTTCATCTGTCCCACTGGGAGTAGATTTCACAGTTTCACTCTCAGAAGGTCTCTTAGTTCCAGCTTTTCAAGCCCTTCCAGGCCCTTCCTCAAAGATGAAACTCAAAGAGGAATCCCATGCTTTCTGACAGAGCAGAACAGGACAGGGCTTGCCCATCTAGTGGGGCAGGGACAAGAGGGCTTCCCCAGGCACAACAGTTGGACCTGGACCATAATCATATGTTTATGGTTTATCTAAAGGGCTCCCTTTAGATCTTTCATCCTTGTGGGAAAATCTAAGGATAGATTTCTGGCTCAAGTTGCCCAGTCTCTGGGTTTATCAAGCAGCACTGGGATTGTCTCCTCATCTTTCTCTGTCCTCCTGCCCTGACAGTCTATAGGAAGGCTCTGCACTACCTACCTCTTCTGGCCCTGAGTTCCTTGAGACAGGTGGAAATCTGCCCCAGGCACTGAATCACCCCCACTCTCAAAACAGGCTTGAGAAGAGGAAGGACTCCCCAGACACAGAGATCATGACATCCTCTCAGCTTTATTCGTATTTATTTATTCATATATATATATATGTGTGTGTGTGTGTGTGTATATATATGTAAAATTTTACCAGAGGGTGCATGTACTCACTGGAGAGAGAGGAAAAAGAGACTCACTGAAGAGAGAGAAAAAGAGAGTGACAGTGAGAAAGCACATGCCACCCCCATGGGGAACGGTCAACTGCAATCCCTTGTCCTTCATTTCTCCCTTCTTTTTGGGATTTTGGACACACATATACACACGTGCTGCTGGGTCCAGAACTTGAACTGTGCAGCCAGCCATGTGGGTTCTAGCCACTTTAACCACAACAACACCTGCTTATCCCAATGTCATTCCTGACCCAGAACTGGAGCAGAGGGTCGGAAGGAAGCAGCCCTCCTGCTAAATACCCTCCCCCCCCCAAAGAGATCTGAGGTTGCAGCCTCAGGAGTTCTCTCCAATGAAGTGTCCATCTCCTAATTCATCACCTCCAGATATGGAGAGAAGATCTATAGAGACTTGAAGGCCCAGAAAAAGTAGTTAAGGGAGCCAGATCCTACATGATCAGCCACAGTTAGAATCCTGCCCTAGTAGCTTAAAAAACACACTGGCAGGTGTGTATCATGCCCAAATCCTGACAGGGTGAGAAATGGAGAAAAGATTGCAGCATGATCATGCCTTATTTGGGGGATGCTTCCTTCCTCTCTCTGTGTCTCTCTGTCTCTCTCTGTCAGCACTTGCACTCTGTGGCAAGTAAATTAAAAAACAAACAAAAAAAAAGACCTACCTTGATCAGATTGAACCAACACTGGCTCCACCCTTACACTCCCAGCTCAGATAACCCAGGGCCAAGCTGAGTATCTCTGGCTGACCTGATCACTCTCCTCACACCCAGAAGTGAAGCGGCCCAGACCAACCATTTTACTCCTAACCTGCCGTGTTCTTAGATCATATTCAGGTAGGGGTGGGGGGAGGGTTAGGGTATGGAGAATATACATCATCCCTTTCTTTTTTATTTTTTAAAGAATTATTTTATATTATTATTATTATTATTATTTTATCACCAGAAAGAGACAAAGAGAGAGTGGGAGAATGAGAAAGCAAGCTGCCAAGTCTGGGATCCAAACCAGTCAGCCATGTGGGAATTCAGTTGCTCTAACCACCATGCCACCTGCTGGCCCCTACATTATCCCTCTCACTGGACAGGTTCTAGGAACTCACTTGAACTAGAAGGGCTTCTGCTGTCCCAACATCCTGCTAGGAAAACAGGGCTGCTGCTGTCTCTGCAAATGGAAGATTCAGGATTCTAGGGAAGAATGCGACCTGGGAGTGAGCCACCTGTCTCTCAGTAGTTTACTCACTTCCTATTCTTTTCCTCTTGCTCCCTCCCCCACTCCCTCATTCATTCATCCATTCAGCGACTTTCTGTTTGCTCCTCTGGTTGTTGAGGCTACTTAAGGGCCCAGGCTCTGAAGTTCTTAGTCTGGAGATAACCTGTGTGTGTGTGTGTGTGTGTGTGTGTGTGTGTGTGTGTTTGAGTGTATGTATGGTCTATGCAATTCTAGGGAAGGGAACAAGGAGACTGGGGTCAAGCTGTCCACCCCAATCAGATAAGACAGAAGGAAGGAATCAGTTTAACAGACTCCATCGTCTCTCTGCCCCTGGTCCCTGAGCATCACTCATTCTCTTAACCCCACTTACCACCCTCACCATTCTGCTTTATTCCTACCTTCCCACATCCACCCTGGGAGCATGTGGAGGTGATTGTGTATGTGTGCGCACACTTATGAACATATACAGTCTCTAGCAGATACACATACACCACCCCCATCGGGCATCAGGCTGCTAAGTGGGGTGTGAAATACAGTTTCCATGTGAGCTGGTGTCTGCTCATTAAACACTTCCCTTTGCAGCTCCCTAACGCCTCTTAGAGCCTGGCCTTTGGCATTCCCTGTCTCCTCCCCCCTTTAAAGGGACCACCTTTATATAGAAGGGAAGTGGTCTCAATATCAGGGCCAGCTCTGACTTGTGTCTTACAAGCTCAAGGTGTTCTCAGCCAGCCCCCCAGTGAAAGCACAAAAGAGCAGGCTCCCCAGACAGGCCCAGGAGGTCTCAGCCCGCTCTCCTGTAACTCTGATCTTCCAGGCCTAGGGGTGGCCAGGAAGAAGCAATTCTTTTTTCTCCTCTCCTGCACCCTCCCAACAGCAATGGTGACAGCTGCAGTTACAGGCAATGGCATTGGGTTCGTGGTCTCCCTCACTGGGCCTCTACTTGTGACAGGGGGAGGGGACAGGACGGTGGTCCCAGTATGGGCGGTCTGGAGGGAGTTGGAGGATGGGAAGCTCTGGGCACCCTGCCCCACCCCAGCTCACTGGGACATGACTTGGCCAGGCCTCCACATCTGGCAAGAGAAACTTGAGCCTCAAGCATGTCATCCTCATAAGACAACAGCTCTGTCTCCAAAACACTTTCCCATATGTTTGCTTCCAGCCCTGAGAAGACGGGTGGGGCAGGATAATTAACCCCGATTCGCAGATGGAGAAATGTAGCTCAAATCTGGGATTTGGAAACAGGTTTCTGGGAGCAGACGCTAGTGGTAAAGTGAAGGTGGGAACAGAGGAAACACTTCCTAGAAAAAGGCCAAGCCTAGAAGAGGAGGGCAGGGGAGGGTATATGCTCCCCCTCCACCCCTGGCCCCAGAAAGCAGGAAAATGGCTCCTGTAGAACCTTGGCACCTAGATCCCTAGGATGATAATAAAAATGAGGCTATTAGCTAACATGGACACTTGGTATGTGCAATGTTCTGGCTTAAGTGCTTTACATACATCATCTCATTTAGTCCTCACAACAAACCTATGCTGGTATGACTCCTGTCTTACACATGAGGAAACTGGTTGATGAGCCCTGCCCTTTCCAGGCTATGTCTGTGTAAG